GCAACCTCTAACCCTTGGGCTTAAGTGATTCTCTTGCCTTAGCCTCCCAAGTAGCTGGGACTACAGGTCCCGGTTATTTTTAGTTTGTAGTTGTCATTGTTGTTTGGCAGGTCGGGCTGGATTTGAACTGGCCAGCTCTGGGGTATGTCGCTGGAGCCTTAGCTGCTTGAGCTACAGGTGCAGAGCCATTACAGTTTCTTAAAGTTACCTAAAATCTATTATAAAATAAGATTGCTGTCAATAAAATAAATGACTTTTAAGAATTATCTGACTAAGTGGCAGAGCTAAGACTGAAACACAACTCTCAGAATGCCAACTTCCAGACTTGCTCCCCACCCTGCTTCAAAAAAAATTGCCAAATTCTAATTTTTTTTCATTAAAGCATAATACTACCTTATATGGAAACAAGTCTGACATTTACTCAACAAAGATTAAGAAAAGGCAAACTTGAAGGCCTGACATGGTGGCTCCCACCTATAATCCCAGCACTCTGGGAGGCCCAGGAGGGCGGATTGCCTGAACTCATGAGTTCAAGACCAGCCTGAGCTAGATTGAGACCCCCATCTCTAAAATAGCTGGGCATTGTGGCGAGCACCTGTAGTGCCAGATACTTGGGGGAGGCTGAAATCACTTAAGCCCAAGAGTCTGAGGTCGCTATGAGCATGACACCATGGCACTCTACTAGGGGCGACAAAGTGAGACTCTATCTCAAAAAAAAAAAGGCAATTTGAAACAATGTATTTATTGTAAAGTTACACAAAGCTTGAGATGCTTAAGATTTTGCTTATTTTCCAACAATAACTTATAAACCAACAACAATAACTAAAAATCTATTAAGCACTCATTTTGCGTCAGGCAGTATTCTATATAGTGTATCATCATTTAATCATAACACCAATCTTAGGAAATAAGAACAAGGGCCCAATCTACTCCCTTCTTTCAAGATGGGGAAACTAAGTCAAAGAAAAAGGAACAGAAAAACATTCACCAGGCTGTGGCTAGATGGATTAACAACTGTCCAGAAAGGAAGAGTGTGAGAGTGTGACTGCTGTTAATGTCAGGGATGAAGAGACAAAGAGTCAGTTCATCAGAGGGGCTGAGAGTTCTAACGGAGGGAAATTATCCATACTACTGGCATCAAGCAAAAAATGTAAACTGTCCCTGATCAACAATGTGGCACAACGAAGAAGGTAAAACAGTAATGTAAATACAGGAAGGGATAGGAAAGGCAGGCACAAACATAGAGGAAGGAACCCTGGGAGTCTCCACTACCCACAGAATGAATGAGTCAGCCAGGCGGTGTTATCACAGGACGTGTGGGGAAGAGGCATAACACGACAAGGGCAGAGATGAATCCTTCCTCTGTATCCGGGAGACCCCAGGTTGGAATTGGTAACCAATGTTGATCACTTCAAGAAGTATGGGGGGAGAACTTAGAAAAGGATCAAGGAAAAGAGACAACTAAACCAAAATGATAGAAAAGACTATCTGGGAAAACAGAGAACTTAGGGTTGCTCACCAAAGGGAGAGCAATGGTTGATTTAATTATGGCCCTTAGAGAGGAAGAGCGTACAATGCTCTTCCTCAAACTCTTCACAGGCTTTGGCAATCACTTAAATCTCACTCAACTTCAGGATGATAGGGAACATGGTTAAAAAAAGAGTAAAAAAAAAAAATGAAAGAATTAGGGAAAAAGAGAAAAAAGTATTTAAGGCATTACAAAAGACTTCAAATATGTAGTTTGACTACATGACTTCAAAACAGTCAAATACGTAGTATCATTTTCTCAGAGGCTTTTATCCCAAGTAGCCTCTGTAAGCCAGGAGTAATAGCATGCATCTGTGATCGCAGCTACCCAGGAGGCTAAGGCTCAAGGATCCCTTGAGCCCAGGAGTTTAAGACCAGTCTGGGCAACATAGTGAGACCCTGCCTCAAGAAAAAAAAAGGTGGGGAGGGTAAGGCCAAAGTAGCCTTCTCAGTGTCTAGCAGCCCATTCTGATCTATTTATTGCCTTCACAGCCTGTAACACTCTGCAGGTTCTCCATGCTTATGCATTTGTGGCTCCTCTTGTCCCATTAGGATGTAAGCACCACAGAAGCCTGGACTTTGAGCATTATTTATCCCTAGTAAATACCAACAGTACCTAGGACACGGTGGGTATTCTATAAATATTTGTAGAATCTATGTCCACAGAGCAGCAACATGGGAAATAAACTTTCAAATTTTAGCAAGATGGATGCCAATCAGACACAAGAGGAATTGCTTGTGAGTTGAAGTAAAACCTGAGGCTGCTCAGGTAGAGTGCTGTGCCGTCACAGCTCACGGCAACCTCAAACTCTTGGGCTCAAGTGGTTCTCTTGCCTGCGGAATGCTGTGGGTCTGTAAGGAGGGAGTCACTCACATGTCGTAAGAGTTTTATAGATTCACCTGCCTAAACAATTTCTAGTGGTTCCTGCCAAAACCATGACTTCATACCTTACAGCACAGAAGCACAGTCTTGCTAGTGATGAATAATACATGATCCCTGAGCTCTTACTGTGTACTGGACAATGTTCTGCAGCTTTCCATACATCAAACCATTTCATCTGCACCACTTTGTAAGTACTGGTCTTTTTCTTCATATCTATAAAATGGTACTTTTTAGCCCAGAAAGGTTAAACAATTAGCCCAAGTTTACTCAGATTGTACCTGGTAGAAGTGGGACTTAAATTCAGAAAACTGCCTTTATGTCATTCATTTAAGGGTGAAAATAAATTTAAAGGGAGCAAAAGTCTGGTAAACAGGAAGAATAATGAGCTGATAAATTATGGCACGGGAGTTACCTGACATGGATTTTCTTCATGGCTTGATATGTTTGTGTGGATCTTTTCAAATTCTATGTACCTGTAACATTCCAATATGTCCTAGAGGATCTGACGATGTACTAATATTTTCCCTTTATTAATATCTTAATTAAAAGAAAGTTGATTAGGGGGCGGTGACTGTGGCTCAAAAGGGTAGGGTGCCAGCCCCATATGCCAGAGGTGGCGGGTTCAAACCCAGCCCTGGCCAAATAAAAAAAGAAAGGTGATTAAAAATGAAATAGACATGCATGTCAAATTAAGTGAGACATTGTAATGAAGGCCTTTGACACATCCTGAACAACTACGAACACATGGACAATCTTCACGTCTACTGGGCTCCCCAAACACACATCCCACCCCCATTGTTCAGAGCAAACAATGATGTACTACTCACAGTAATATGATTGAAGCGCATGTAATGCTTTACTTTCAAAAAGTTGAAAAAGAATTGGAAGCAGTATAAGGAACAATCCTAAGAGGGATTTTCTTTCTTTCTTTCTTTCTTTTTTTTTTTTTTTTTTGGAGACAGTTTTTTTTGTGTGGTTTTTGGCCGGGGCTAGGTTTGAACCCTCTGCCTCCGGCATATGGGGCCTGT